ATAATAATATTAGAAGTAGTTATTTTAAATACTGTAAATCTGTCGTTCCACCGCTGCATGTGACGCCATGGCTGGGCGGGGCTTGTTCTCAAACCCAGACGCAGGCTCACAGCAATAAAGATGGCGGCGCTGGGGTCCGCCAAATCCGCTGGACTCGGGCAGAGAAGCGCTCCTCTGAGTCTGGAGGAGGCCCGGTGCCCGGTGTGCTCCGAGATCCTGCTGGAGCCGGTGACGATGCCCTGTGGACACTCGGTGTGCCTGCACTGCTTCCAGCGCACGGTGAAGCTGACCAGCCTGTGCTGTCCGCTGTGCCGGCTGCGGGTGTCCAGCTGGGCCCGGAAACAGTCCCGGGAGAAGAGCCTGGTGAACGCCGAGCTCTGGGAGCTGATCCGCCTCAGCCACCCGGAGAGATGCAGGCGGAGGATGGAGCAGAGAGACGGACAGACCGCCGACGGAGGTTCGTGGGGCTCGACAGATTACATAATCATGAGTTTGAAGTCATTATTTACGCTTCGACAAATCGCGGCATGACAGTTTTCCAGCTTCGCTGATTTCAGTTCAGTCGATACATTTGAATTGTTAGAAATAAAACTAAAACATTCTATTTATTTTATAAATGTACTATTTTTGCACTGGACAACGTAAAGGTTAAAAAAACAAGTAGGGTTTTTAAAAACTGGAATCTGGAAGAAAACAGCGCTGTTTTGTTGGGGGGCGTTCACACATGACGCGTTCCGTCTGCGCTGTTTTTCTTATGTTTGGTTTGTGTATAAACGCCCAGTTGCGTCGCGTCGCGTCTCTCCCGCGTTGCGTTTTCAACTTCAAAAAATCCCTGCGTCCCAATGTGCAAACTATCCACCCTATCTGCCCTAAATAGTATTCAAAATGACTAATATCACATAGAATTTAGGATGGATAGTGTGCACATTGGCACGCAGAGTACTCAATTTTGAAAAACACAATTTTGAAAAATTTAAAGGCTTGTTTTGCCAAAAAAAACTTTAACCGTAAGTGTTGGAGTATGTAGATTTGGGTTTGGTTGTGGCGTTTTGCTGATTTTATGTCAAACTGTTCAGCATTCTGTTTTCGAAGGCAAGAACGTCAAGGGAGCAAACACTCTAGTTTGGTAAAACCTGATCAAATCATGTAATATGAACGAAGTACTTAAAAGTTGTTTTTTTAATGTTTATTTTATTTTTAGCTTTCTGTATGTTTCTTGCTCACATCTGACTTGCTATACTTTAAAGGTCCCATATTGTCAAAACTGAAATTTCCTGGCT